TTTTTTTTTTTTTTTTTTTTTTTACGAAAAAGTTCTTTGAAAACAGAATGAGTCCTGCCATGCTTGGCTAGTCTCAAATAAAGTAATAGCCGCCCGGTTCATCCACCTGTCCCAGTGTAGGATTTCCCCTCTGCTGATTACTACTCCCCTCAAGTACACCCATCCGTTCTGCAGTGAGGGACGCTCACGCCAGTTCTCTGTCCTCTCCATTTCCAGTAACGCTGCGTGAGTGCAGAAAGTCCCTCTGCAACCCGCCTCCTGCCCTCCATCATCTTCTCCACGGGGAGAGTCACCGATCCTTTGTTCAGCAGCCACAGTGGCTGCACCGAAGCACCCCAAAGGACACTGTGCCAGCGTTCCCTCCCCACACCCCTGCGTCTTTGTCATCTTTGTTTTCTCTACATCAGCCATTCCAACGGAGCAGAGAGCCAGCTACGCGGGGTCTCCCTCGGGTTTGGAATCTGAAAAGGCTGATCTGGTTGAAGCAGAGAGGAGAGTGGTGCAGAGGAGAAGTGAACCGTGATGTGGGATGGGGTGGAGAGGTGGTGGCCAAAGGGGGTGGTAAATGTAACAGCACATTGTCAATTACACCACTTGGACCTTATTTACACTTTTAGTTTTTACGTCAGAGAAACTATTCAGTATTTACACATGTGTGTCTTATTTGTTTCACTTAAGAGCATGGCCTTAATATGACAATGTGAAATAAGAAGAAAGGGCTAAAGGTGTAGGGGAAGTGGGAGGGGAGGGGAAATGAATTGAAAAGTTTTGTAAATAGGGAGGGGTGGAGGGGTTGCAGGGAGGGCAGGGATACGGGAAAAAAGGAGAACCAAGACCTGTCATGAAAGGGTACAAGATCCCAAAGGTGAATGTGACGGTACTGTATACTTAAAAGTACCCATAGACTCAATGAGAAAAAAATGCTACCAGCACAAGATTATGGTGAGGGTGATGCATATGTAATGAGATAAATTTAGCCAAACGTGACATACGCATGCTTCAGGATGTCATGCTTTACATAATTCTCAAATATAGTGGTCGACTTAAATACATAACCCTTATAATGCATGACATGTATTTATCCACAATAAAATTCCATGGGCATTTTATGCAATTTCCTATTGAACATATTTCAGTATGTTTCCGTGTCCTGCAAATGAGGGCCCATGTAAGAAACCCGATGTCCACATCTCTCCCCACAGTCCGGGAAACACATTTCCAGGCCCCAGTCAACAACTGCTCATGCACCCCTGTGTGTCTGTGTAAAATCCAATGGTAAATGTAGTGTAAGCCAACGAATACCAGCACAGAGAAACACACAGGTGCTGGACATGAGTTAGCAGTATACAGTGCCACGGCTTGTGTTTACATTCCCCCAAATCTCACGATTTTTCAGAGGGGTCTGAATCTGGAAGTGTGCTGCCAGGGTTGAGGATATGTGATTACCCACCACCTCTGAGTGACTGGTTCTGCACTGCCTCAATCCCAGGAGTCTGGAAGGGGAAAAGGGGGAACAGAATGCTGTTATGGTCCCTTATTGCTTTTGCTGAGATTTAATAGCATGAACTGATGTCCCTCTGCCACTTTGTCTTGAAACCGGCTGACTTGTGTACTGAAACTTTTATGAACTGTAGGCTGCATAAATCCTTTCTCCTTTCCCTTGTTGTGCCATGTATTTTGTCTTGGCAAGGAGAAAAATGGAACTAAGACACACACTAAATATTTTCTTGATCTCATAAGCTGGACAGTATTTCTGCAAAGAAAGACAATGCACAGCTAGTCTCAGAACTTCTCTGTTACTCTAAGGCTGAGGTCAAAGAGAGCTTTTAGAAATTTTTCACTGGTTAAATCCCAGAAGAAGTCCCCTCTCCTGTGAGGAGAGGAACAGGTGCAGTGTGCGTGCGAGATGTGACCACTCTTGGTCTAGAGATGAGGAGGGGGGGCTCCCTTGGAAGTTCCCCAAGGCATGCAGGCTCCTCCTGTGTTGAAGGCCAGAAAGCCACGCCGGCCCTGGTGACACAGCAGCTCTCCTTCCACACCGATTCTGCTGTACTATTATGGGTTATTCCTTCTTGTTAGCCTTTTTTTATCACAAGGAAATTCATTTTAAGAGTGTGGACGTCACAAGTGGCCCCATGCCTTCCATTCTCATACATGCTGTCTGTCAGTCCACTGAGGCTCCGCCTAACTCCTACAGCAAGTGAGATTTCTAGCACTTCAGTGCAAGAACACAGAATAAAAGTGCCGACATCAACATGGCCCCTGTGTCTGGTTGCCATGACTGAACTGAAAGACTGCTGCTCTAGATGTGAACACTGTGCTATTTGCCCTCTATCAAGTGTCCGACCCATATCCAAGGGGCCCACAAGAACAAACCTCATTTTACAGATAAGGTTACTGTTCCTCTTTGATTAGAGTCGCTTGCTTTGATAATACTGACCATGCTGTCTTAAGATGCTTAGAAACATTTTATTTAGTGCCCCTTTTCCCTTCATTTAGCACGAAACTTAGTATTTTCTCCCAAGTGCTGCTTTCTCTCTTTCTGAAACATTGATAATATTTGCCCCTTTTGTCGGGTATATTTTTGACTCTATAGAAAGTTGGAAGACTACACATTTGCAGTATGATTCAAACAATAGTTCAGTAACATCCAGGAATCTGAAGCATTCACCTGTGTGCTCATCCAGGATGCTACTCCCTCAGTGGTTGGCAACAGGACTCAGAAAAGGGGCTAAGATTCAGTTTCCTGAGTACTATTGATTGGACTTAGTGATGTTACTGTGACTCAGTTTTCTTTTCAAAGAAATACAGAAATGAAGAAATATACTATTGTTCATAGCACAGTATAAAAACTTAAGCTCATATGGTTTCTGTCTTCATTGCATTATAATTCCAAAGTCTGGTCTGTGTTCTTGAACCCAGTTCAAGTGTATTCCTCATGTAAATGAGATAAAAGCTGTTCTTCATGATGCCTCATAGGTGAAAACTTTTCTCAGGTATGCAATTTTATGTTTCATATGAAAAGTCTTTGTAAAGATGAGATGAAAATTAATGAAGCACAAGTCAGGGAGAGGAGACAGCAGAGCGAAGAAGTCTCGGTCTACTTCAGTTGCAAAAAAATTAGAGCAGATGTTATGGTGTACAAAAATTGATAATATATATTCAAAGAAAAGCAACAAAATAGGAAGAAAAGGGCTAAAGGTGTAGAGCAAGTGGAAAGGGTAGGGGAAAGGAAATAAGGGAAAGGAAAAAAATAAGAGAAAATGAAAAAAATGGAAATAAAGTACTTGTAAATAGGGAAGGGAGGAGGGAGTAAAGGGAGGCAGGGGTAAGGGGAAAAAAAGAGAACCAAGACCTGGCATGTAAAGGTACAAGAGCCCAATGATGAATGTAACTGTACTGTATACCTAAAGTGTATCAGTAAACTCAATGAGAGAATAAAAAAAGAAAAGCAACAAAAACAGCACAGCTGCCCAGCATGGGGATGGCTGGAGCCCTGATGCACACTTGGAGGAAGGAAAACAGCACAGCAGTGGGGCAAAGGATCACAGGGGATCACCACAGTATTAATCTAGGGCTACCATGGGGTACAGAAAGGTTACGTCTGATTCTACAACCAAAGAAGTGAAAAGCAGTATCTAAAGAGTTATTGGACAGAAATGTGCACAAGAGAATTAATCACAATAGCAAAAACAGGGAGACAATGTGTGCATCAACTAAGAGATGAACCAATAATATGTGTATTTATTATATGTATATTTCTAGTATATCCTTCACTAAAGAGGAATTTCATAAATATGATATAAGGGTAATATCCTATCACAAAAACATGAATGCTGCCTTATTCTCATGTAATATAATGAAAATAATGTATACAGATAATAGAAGCATTTCCATGGTAGGGGAGGGCAAGGACATTTTTAACAGGAACAGACTGAGTTTGCAAGATGAAAAGACTCAGGAAATGGGTGGCAGGGATTCTTGATATCATTTTTAAATTCCTTTGAGTTTTGCACTTTAAAAATTCATGAATTAGTAAATTCATGTAGCCTTATCTTATCACAAGAAAGATTTGAAAAAAAAGATGTGAGGATGAGCTAAAATAAAGAGGACAGAGAGAAGTCTGGCAGGAAAATGTTCACAAGATATCCACCAGAAAGTGAATCTATTTTGTATCATAAATATACACTAATAAAAGGGAGAGTAAAAAGAATGTAAAAGTCATATTTATCCTCAAAACTGGTCCCTTTCTTTCCAGGAATATATGAGAGACTGATACCATGGAAAGGGGAAACATGAGTTTTCCCAAAACTTTTGTCCTGCTGGGCTTCTCAGAGTTTCCGTGGCTGGAGAGGCCCCTCTTTGTAGTTGTCCTGATCTCCTATCTCCTCACCCTGGTGGGGAACAGCTCCATCATCCTCCTCTCCCTGGTGGACCCCAGACTCCAGACACCCATGTACTTCTTCCTGGACAACCTCTCTCTGCTGGACCTCTGTATCACCTGCACCATTGTGCCTCAGCTGCTGGCCAATCTGTGGGGACCAGAAAAGACCATTTCTTCCTCAGGATGCATCACACAGGTTTTTCTTTTCTGCTGGATAACCTCTAGTGAATGTTCTCTGCTAGCCATGATGGCCATTGATCGCTATGTGGCCATCTGCCGGCCCCTCCAGTACTCTCTCATCATGCGTGCCTCGGTGTGTGTGCAGATGGCAGCAGTATGCTGGTCCAGCGGGCTCCTGAACTCTCTGCTTCAAACCATATTGACCCTTCAGATCCCGCTCTGTGGGTACCACACCCTGGACCACTTCTTCTGTGATGTGCCTCTTCTGATCAAGCTGGCCTGTGGGGACACCTCTGCCAATGAGCTGGCCCTCACATCTATGACCATCCCATTTGGAATGATGCCTGCCCTGCTGGTGGTCATCTCCTACACCCTCATTGCTAGGGCTGTACTGAAGCTCCCTTCAGCTGATGGCAGGAACAAGACACTCAGCACCTGCAGTTCCCACTTGCTCGTGGTCACCATGTACTTTGGGCCCGGCATGTACTTTTACCTCAAGCCTTCAGCCAAGAGTTCCCAGGCCAAGTTTATGTCCTTATTCTACTGTGTTATCACTCCCCTGCTCAACCCACTCATCTACACCCTGAGAAACAAGGATGTGAAGATGGCGTGGAAGAGGATCCTGCAAATGAATGGTAGCATGATGTCTTTGAAAGCCCAATCTCTGCCTGTCTCCTGAGCAATCACATATGCACATCTATAATTACATGCGAATCACATCTGCTTTTCCGTAGTGTTTGTGTACTTCCAACTCTCTTGGTCGATCACCTTAATGTTTTGAAAAACTCTTTGGGCTCAGAATGTCTACCACGGTTCTTCGCACAGTCAGCCTGCCCCTTCCTAAGGCCTTCATGTGTGTCTGGTCTATAGACAGAGGAGCCAGCAGCATGGCTCTTATGTCTTTGAGCTGGTGAGAAATATCCTCTTTTATGTCTTCTTGATTCCTCCTTTTTTGCATTCCCCCATTCCATCTTTCATCAGGTTCTTTCTGTCCACCCCATTTTAATATAACTCCCTACATATTCATTGCACACTACAGAGGCTCTGTTTTTAACACTTCCCTGTCTGCTGTAATGTGTTCATTGCACCAGAATCCCTCGGCTCCCTCCTCCCTGCCCTGAGTCTTCTCCTGGGCACCTTTGCCTTCCCCTAACAGTACATTTTCTCTCATTTTCTCTTATCGTGACATCTTTCCCCTCCATATACTATATGATGATTCTGAATTACATCAATTATTCTGAAAACGGCATGACTTTCCTTCATTCATAATAGAATAATAGTCCACTGTGTACCACTTCTTTTTCTATTCATCCACTGATGGGCATCTAGGATGACTCCGTAACAGAGCTGCGATACGTGGTGCTGTGATAGTAACTGGTGTGAAAGTATCTTTATCGCGTCATGACTATATGATGATTCTGAATTACATCAATTATTCTGAAAACGGCATGACTTTCCTTCATTCATAATAGAATAATAGTCCACTGTGTACCACTTCTTTTTCTATTCATCCACTGATGGGCATCTAGGATGACTCCGTAACAGAGCTGCGATACGTGGTGCTGTGATAGTAACTGGTGTGAAAGTATCTTTATCGCGTCATGACTATAGCTACTTTGGGCAATATGGCTCAGATGTAGAATCTAGATGATACGGAGTTTCACTTTTGATTTCATTTTCATGTTTTTAAGGAACTTCCATTCTGATTTCACAGTGGCTCTCATTTACATTCCCACAAACAATGTATGAGGGTTCAACCTCACCCGCATTTATTAGATTTTTTTATAATAGCCATTTTGGCTGGAATGATAATAAATTTCAATGTAATTTAGATTTGCATCTCCCTCTTGAATGCTCTTTAATTCTCCAGAGAGCTGTACCATAAAAGAAGCTTTAATCCTTCCCCACCCAGGCCTCCTGCCACCAGCAGACCAGTGAGGATCCGAGCCACAGGGGTGCCTCTAGCAACCCAACCCAAACCTCTCCCTCTCGCCTCCGTGTCTGGCTTCCTGGCTATACCTGTACCTCCTCTACACTGCAGAAGCACAGAGGCTATTAAAGGCCATTGCCCTGCCCTAGAGCAGAAGTGAAGACTAGCAAGAAGGTCTTATTGCTTCTACATCCCCATCCCAAAGGTAAAATTACTATATTAATCAGTTCATTCATTATAAACATATTTTAGTCTTCAATTTCATTTTATTTCATGCTGTTAAAGGAGATAGGTTAATAACTATGACAAATTGTCATTTTCTAAGCTGTTCGTGATTCTATTGTTATTGCTGATTATATCACTTGGGGTAGTGTTGTAATTGATCTAATCAGTTGTCCCTCCTGGTACAATGAAAATGAGAATTCCCCAGAGTCATTAGCAACTCAAAACCTAAAGACCAGATATATTTGGAAGACACCTCTGAGAAGCAATTATTCCTTAAGGGTTCTAAATACAAGCTATAAAGATACTTACAATAAGTAATATCAAAGTATCAACCCCGTAATTAAACCAAGGAGGATACCAACAACAATGATAGAAATAAAAGTCATTTAAGCAAGACACAGTCTTCCAGCTTACCAAAGGCAAACTCTGGGGGAAATGAGATGGAAAAGTCTGATAAACCACCACCTGGAGAACCTGAACTGTTACCACAGGAAGAAAAATAAACAGAATAATGAGGCTGTGGAAAAACTCAAAACAGAAACGATTTCTGAGATAACTACAGAGATGATGAGCAGAATAAAAGACATAATTAAAGTCTCTAGAACAGAAACAGATAAAAATAAATAGATGAGTTCAAGACCACAATGGAAGGCATGAATGCTCAGCATAGGAAGAAATGGTAACCGAGAAAACCAAACATAAAGAAGAAGTGGAAGCCGTGAAACAGAGTCAAACTTACACCTAGGAGATTAAAAACTGCACTGAAAGTAAACATAGCAGACTGACCCAATTGGAAGACAGAATATCAGACACAGAAGACGGGATGGCGGTCAGTGACCATGAAAAGAGAGATATCTTTAGAAATAATAAAGAATCGTGAGAAATCAATACAGTAGCACCTAGATGATGATGTGGGTAGATGAACCAATAAATACAAAAATGTTTTATGAAGATATAGATATGCATAAGGAGACATCAGTAATTCTTAAACATGAGGGACACATGTATTTTGTGGAAATACATGGAAGGACTTGGAGACATTATACTAGTTAAACAACTCACATGCAGAAAGATTAAAAATACACAATCACATATATTTGGATTCTAATCAACTCAGTTCATAGAAACACAGAGCAGAATAGTCATCACCATGGAAAGAAAATATGGAAAATGGGGAGAGGCTGATCAAGAGCCATACAGTTTTCACTATATACTAAATTAAGATCTGGGTATCTAATGTACTGTGTAATTACTATAATTAATATACTCCATTATATACTGCAATTTTGTAGGAAAACTGTTGACTTTGTTTCCCTCTTTTTCTTTGTTCATACTAGTGTTATTCCCTTCTTTCCTTTCTCCTACCACACCCATTTCTTCTTTCCCTTTGTCCATTTTCGTCCTCTTCTATTGCATTTGTGATAGGTCTACAAGAAAGCCTACATTCTTCTTCTGAAACACAATATCACTTTCATGGGATGTTCACCTTTTAAGAATAAATAGCAGTTGTAATACTGTAAGTACTTAATGTTCATCCTAAGCTAAATGTCCACAGTCAAAGACAATTACCAAGTCCATCATACTGCTGAAAACAATACAAATCGTTTAATCAAGTTGTTGCTGCGAGCATTCTGAATCCAGCAGAGAGGACTCCTTTCCCAAACAGCTCTCCCTTGCTCCTTCTCTGGCCTCAGCCACCCTCCCTGTAGCCTCTGTTCTTGATCCACTATTTCTTCCTCATGGTTGCCACAACAGATGCTCCCTGGGGACCCACACCCCTCTCCATGTAAAAGTGCAGTCACTGCATCTCCACACCCAACAAGCTGGACCTGGACAGGTGAAGGGGTCCTGAGACCACAGGGGCACAAGGGCCTCTTCCATGGGTCACAACTGTGTTATCTTCCAGTGAAACTGGTGGGCACAGAGGAGGTGGGGAAGATAGTTAGACGTGGGCTGAGTCTATGCTGCAGACACCTTGTGATGACTCCATGCTGGGGTTGCACAAGTTCACCGTCAGCCCTGTGATGTTCAGAGTCTCTGAGGTCAGCAAGGAAATCTAGGACAAGCCTGGCAGTTTTATGTTCTCCAAAGTTCTCATAGGGTAGTAAATAGCAACAGTGGAAAGAGTGGGTCAAAGTGATAGGTCTGAGGCAGGAAAACAGTGGGGAGATGACCAGCTCTTAAACGCCCTACACCAGGATGCTTCTGATTCTTGGAAGTGTTTGACTCATCTTCTTCTTGCATCCCCTTAGCTTCCACATTATTCTGGGATGTATTCTTAGCCATTATCAGACTCTTTTACCTCTGTCAGGACCCTAACTTGCAAAGCTCTGCATCAGAGTAATTGAAGGTAAACCAAGATCTTCACAACTTCATCAGCACTGTGGTTTTTGCACACAAACACATACATTCCATGGGTTTTGGAAGTCACCTTACTTTTGCTTGGACCAATAGGGTCAAAAAAGCCTCTCTCAATGTGCAGGTGGAGATGTTCAATTAATTGTGATAAGACCTTCAGTCCCATCCAAAAACCTAGGGAAGATCTCAATAATATATAAGAAATGAAAAGCAGACAAGGTCTCATTGAGTCAAACCTCCTCTCCAGTTTTTTCACTAGTTATTGTCAGTCTGATGAGTGAACTTCTCCTTAATTAATATCAACTTGTTCCATTTTCATGTGTTCTTCTCATTTCTTTGTTGAAGAAAAAGAAAGACTGGATCTGTCTGGTAAGAGTAATACCCACTGCCTGGTAAATTTAGCATAGGGAAGAAAGCACACTTCAATAAAAAAGAAAACAAACCATAATGTCCCACAATACTGACATAAGGAGACTGAGACAGGGCTGGGGATTTAGTGATTACACTGCCTGCCTCCCAAGTGCAAGGACCAAAGTCAGATTTAAAAAAAAAAAAAAAAAAAAAAAATAGGACTTCTCAATTTCCTACAGAAATGACATTTTCTCCTTAAAATATGCTCTTGCATACATAAGTAACTGTGAAAATTTTAGACAAATATTCCCCCGGGGATGGCATTACTCTTTCCATATGCACAATATTCAAAGGGAATGAGGCCAGCACTATGTGGCCATGGATAAGTGGAGCTTTAGTGCGGTAATTTTATTGTTTCAGAGTCTTATCTGGACCTCACTCAAGCTTATCTCAGGACAATATTTTTCTACAGAAAAACAAATGAAAACCAAGACCTGTCATGTAAAGATACAAAAGCCCAATGATGAATGTAACTGTACTGTATACCTAAAATGTACCGATAAACTCAATGAGAAAAGAAAAACTGAGAAGAGGGAAATTCCCTGTAGCATTCATGCTGCACACGAGGCTCTGAGTTAATGGGCTCCCTGCACTAGCTCAGGTCTCAGAGGAGCCGAGCCAGGCACCCTCAGGAGCCCTCTACTCATCACTCTCCTTCCTGGATTGTGATCACTTCCACCACAATCTTCACAAAACCCCAGCCTCTGAAGAGAACTTGCCCCATGGATCCTGGTCAACTTTAAACCACTGGCCTC